GCACTCTTTCCACCCGCCCAGGGCTGGAACCAGTGCCAAACAACCTCTGCTAATAAACAAGAGGAACCAGATAAACTGGGAAGACAATAGAGGGATTTGTTGCATTTAGAGATGGTGGGAACAATGTCAACGTCGGGCGCAGCTGCATATAGCCCCCACATACTCGCAACCAACCCAGTATGATTTATGAAAGGTCAAGGTTTCTCATGTCTTAAATGGTCCCTTCTTCACATCATTTATTAACCCTTCCTCTACAATGGGCCCTTATTTTGTAGGGTGAGGGGTTTGTACATTTCCTTTGAGTAACTGAGGAAGAGGAGCATAGAGACTGAACTGTAGGTATTCTTCCATCTTTGCACTCTTGCAGTTTGGTTGATAATACGGCAATTGATTTTACTTCATTCCACTAGTGCTGCAGGGAGGCAGATAAATAGCAAACAATATTAAAAGGGAAGGAATAGTTTCTCCCCCAAATGTTGTACATTATAACTCAAAAGTTACCGGTAAGTAACAATCAGCTTGAAAATGTCTCTGCTGGTCATGGTGGCTGGGAGATTTTGGAAGTTACTATCCCAAATGTAACTTTCCATTCTCTTGTGAACAATGCATGGAAGCCACAGAGAAAGGGGGAGCAGAAAGAACAGTGAAATGATAAAATAACAAATCCACATATTGGCTAGTCAACTTCACACATTTGATACCAGGCTGTTGTTTTTTCCAGTAGGGACTGTGGTAAACAACAGCAGCAACAAGAACAAGGATAGAAAAAGTTGTTGTAACTCTACACAAAATTTTTATCACAATAATTTTAAAATGTGCCAGCTAATTAAATCATTACATATCAACTGGCAATGGCCATTTCATTCTCAATACTCTGTAACAATCCAACGAATAGTAAGATGGGTGTGTTTATAAGAAAACAGATAGAGCATTTATTGGTTTTATTAGTTTGAGTACCCAATTGCTAGAGGATGTTATGTATTTTCACCTTAAACCCAATTATTAGTCCCAAAGAGAATAGGCCCATTGAATGAGCAATGTAGATAAATGTTGACTTTCCATTCAACAATTGATTCTTTAGTTGTGACCAACTGGATTTAGATATCTATCTGCCTCACTATCTCATTGATTTGCAGATGGAAAGCTATAAGAAGTCAGCATGTCAACAAAAACTTTACCGACAACAGACATCAGGTTGTTGAAAGTGAGAAAGACTGGGGAATGTATAATATACTGGACCGCTCCAGAGGCTAAGATACAAACCAAATTATAAGAAAAGAAATTCCATCTAAGCATTAGGAGCATTTTGACAATGAAACAAACTTCCTCAATCCTCAGTCGGTGGTGACTTCTCTTTCATTGGAGAGTTTTAAATAGCAATTGGATGGCTACCTCTCAATAAAGCGATTAAGTTAATATTCTTTAGGCTTTCTCTCTCTGCCTATGGGTATACACATAAACACAGACCTGCCTTTCTCCTCTGCCAAGAAATGGTACTCAAGGTGGCTAACAACAATAACATTTACATTTTAAAGAACACAAACATAGAATTAAAACATAAAAATCAATCAAAATGCAAATGAAAAGAGATTGATTTAAAAAAAAAAAAAGAAACATTGACCCCATTCATTTAAAATGATTCTGAAGGCCAACTGAGTAAATATAACTTTGCTTATCAGAAAAAGAATAGAAGAGACAAGCCCAGTCTAGCTTCCCTCAGCAACTAGTTCCAAAGCCATGGAGCAACCTTCAAGAAGGCTCTCTTTGCACATCTCCACAACTTTATCTGGCTCAGCATTATCTGTGTCATAAGGGAGAAAGTTTTTGACTCATTCAAACCTTTTGAAAATGCTGGTTTGTGCGGAATTACCCAGCAACAACAAAACCATGAAAACATGCTACATATCTACTAAATGCTGCATGTTTTAAGGTGAATATATTTCAAAACTTTTTTTGCAGAGTTTATTGTCAGCTCCTATGGATAGAAAAACATTACTTGATTATAAATTTGTGTATACTTAAGCCATAGATTTCTTACCATCAAACAAACTCTTCCAAATATATTATTTGCAAATAAATCACCTTTTTTAGTTGAGAATTGTGGAGTTTGTTCTAAATGGATATGTTCTCAATTAATTAATTCCGGATGACAATGAAGCATGTTGGACCAAGGTGTCATTCAATACTACCCCCTGGTTCTGCATTTCAAGGTAAAATGGGTATAATAAGAGTTACAGATAGTGTTTTTAAAAAGACAATCACCAATGTTAGAAGGTTAGACTGAGAAAAAGCAACATATGAAATACTTCTCAATTAATACTATGGCTGAATGGAAATTTAAACCATACTTTCATTAGCCCAAGTTCAACAATAGTCAATATACCACAGTGGCTCTCCCCTGTATTCCACAATCTGGAAACCACTGAGTTACAGTAGTGTGTGTGTTACTTTTCCAAATGTAACTG